TAGAAATGTGTTTATTATAACAAAGTGAGCATGTAGTTTTATAGCACTTGACAAGTGGGGTTTCTAGTCCTCTTATAATGATTCAGACTTACTGTGCCAAGCTCTTTTGAACAGGACTGCACAAGTTGTCCACAATGAGTTAAAAAATGAAATGGTTTCGGTGCATGAAGAACCACCTTCAGCAGCAATAATTTGAAGTAATTGTTTTCTGCATGACATGAAAAATTCCCCTTTGGTTTATGAGATGACAGAGCCAGCTTCCGTGCAGTAAATGCTTTACTGGAGTTTTTCTTCCCCCCCCCCCCCCCCAAAAAAAAAAAAATTAAAAATTAATTAGTAGTGGATGTGCATCTGAGCAGCAGAAAACGTGTACGACATATGCTTTACTGTGATATATTTGTATGAACAACTGTTCAAATTCAGCCTGACCTTAAGGCAAATATTCCTGTCTAGCAGGTACATGTTTTCACTGTTTTAGCAAACAGTCAGAATATGCTAGTGTACATGACGGTTTCATCTGATATCAGCCCACTCAGGATATCCTTTGAAACATTCAGGTTTAGGTTTCAAGCTTCTTACAGTTTAGAAGCAGCTTAGTCTCTGTTTCTTTGTCTTCCTGATGAGTTCAGGATCTGACATGGAAATTAAAAAACACACAGGTACGTCTCATATTTCTCCAGGTGTGTTTGGACTACTGGTTTATAGCAGTGAATACGATGTTTCTGAACTTCGTAACCACTTTTCGGCAGAACGTCTTTTTGCCTTGTGTTATTTAAGTACATTTGCATTCAGAGGGACTCTTATTTCTTGTGACTCATGTTTCCTCCACCTCTGTCTGGTGCTATGACTGTGAGAAAAGCTCTTTTATCTGTGTGTCATCAGGCTGTTGTGTTCATGAGTCTTAGTGGGTCATGAGATGAGCTGCTGTTTCATTTCCCACATAAAATAATCTAATATATCACAGCTTAGACAATTTTAACTGTCCAAACAGCCATATGCTTGTTGTTGACTCAGCTCTGTCTATGTAATGTAACATGTTGTATAGGGTTTGTGTAACGACAAATGCACTAAGTACACATAATTCCTCTTTGTTTATATCCACATAAACCTTGCAGCATTACACTCGTACATCTGTATTATATTTAAGCTGTACATTCATGAACTTTACCCATATGTCTGTTGTGGTTTGGGGAATTTAATTAACTTAAATTGAAGGAAAACAAGGAGTCTCTGTCTCTTGTGTGAAGCAGTTCATCCACTGCTACAAATTAAATGGAAATACTCCACCTGCTGCTGCAGGCTGCATATGTAAAAACAGCACAATGAAAGAATAAGTTCCCGAAGAGGTTCTATCAAATACATGACCTGCAGATACAGTTTGTGGGAAAGTATCTCTCTCTCTCTCTCTCTCTCTCTCTCTCTCTCTCTCTCTATATATATATATGTATATATATATATATATATATATATATATATATATATATATATATATATATATATATATATATATAGATATATATATAGATATATATATATATAGATATATATATTTTTTATATATATATATATATATATATATATATATATATAAAAACACCCAGCACGCCCCTGCGGGCGGTTTATCCTTCAAGCTCGGGTCCTCTACCAGAGGCCTGGGAGCTTGAGGGTCCTGCGCAGTATCTTAGCTGTTCCCAGGACTGCGCTCTTCTGGACAGAGATCTCCGATGTTGTTCCTGGGATCTGCTGGAGCCACTCGCCTAGCTTGGGAGTCACCGCACCTAGTGCTCCGATTACCACGGGGACCACCGTTACCTTCACCCTCCACATCCTCTCGAGCTCTTCTCTGAGCCCTTGGTATTTCTCCAGCTTCTCGTGTTCCTTCTTCCTGATATTGCTGTCATTCGGAACCGCTACATCGATCACTACGGCCGTCTTCTTCTGTTTGTCTACCACCACTATGTCCGGTTGGTTAGCCACCACCATTTTGTCCGTCTGTATCTGGAAGTCCCACAGGATCTTAGCTCGGTCATTCTCCACCACCCTTGGGGGCATCTCCCATTTTGACCTCGGGACTTCCAGGTTATACTCGGCACAGATGTTCCTGTACACTATGCCGGCCACTTGGTTATGGCGTTCCATGTATGCCTTGCCTGCTAGCATCTTGCACCCTGCTGTTATGTGCTGGATTGTCTCTGGGGCATCTTTACACAGCCTGCACCTGGGGTCTTGCCTGGTGTGATAGACCCCAGCCTCTATGGATCTTGTGCTCAGAGCTTGTTCTTGTGCTGCCATGATTAGTGCCTCTGTGCTGTCTTTCAGTCCAGCTTTGTCCAGCCACTGGTAGGATTTCTGGATATCAGCCACCTCCTCTATCTGCCGGTGGTACATACCGTGCAGGGGCCTGTCCTTCCATGATGGTTCCTCGTCTCCCTCCTCTTTCTTGGGTTTCTGCTGCCTGAGGTATTCACTGAGCACTCGGTCAGTTGGGGCCATCTTCCCAATGTATTCTTGGATGTTCGTTGTCTCATCCTGGACTGTGGTGCTGACACTCACCAGTCCCCGGCCCCCTTCCTTCCGCTTAGCGTACAGCCTCAGGGTGCTGGACTTGGGGTGAAACCCTCCATGCATGGTAAGGAGCTTTCTTGTCTTTATGTCAGTGGCTTCTATCTCCTCCTTTGGCCAGCCTATTACCCCAGCAGGGTACCTGATCACGGGTAGGGCGTACGTGTTGATGGCCCGGATCTTGTTCTTACCATTCAGCTGACTCCTCAGGACTTGCCTGACCCTCTGCAGGTACTTGGTGGTTGCAGCTTTTCTAGCGGCCTCTTCATGGTTCCCATTCGCCTGCGGGATCCCCAAGTACTTGTAACTGTCCTCTATGTCTGCAATGTTGCCTTCTGGTAGTTCAATCCCCTCAGTTCTGACTATCTTCCCTGTCTTTGTTACCATCCGGCTACACTTCTCCAGTCCGAACGACATTCCAATGTCATTGCTGTATAGCCTGGTAGTGTGGATCAGTGAATCGATGTCTCGTTCACTCTTGGCATACAGCTTGATGTCATCCATGTACAGGAGGTGGCTGACAACTGCTCCGTTCCGTAGTCGGTATCCGTAGCCAGTCTTGTTAATGATCTCACTGAGGGGGTTCAGGCCTATGCAGAACAGCAGTGGGGACAGAGCATCTCCTTGGTAGATCCCGCACTTGATGGTGACTTGTGCTATGGGCTTGGAGTTGGCCTCTAGTGTTGTACGCCACATCCCCATTGAGTTCCTGATGAAGGCTCTTAGGGTCCCATTGATCTTGTACAATTCTAGGCATTCCAGTATCCAGCTGTGGGGCATTGAGTCATAGGCCTTCTTGTAATCAATCCAGGCAGTGCACAGGTTGGTCAGTCTGGTCTTGCAGTCTCGGCTGATTGTTCTGTCTACCAGTAGCTGGTGTTTTGCGCCTCTGGTATTCTTGCCAATTCCTTTCTGTGTCCCGCTCATGTATTGACCCATGTGCCTGTTCATCTTAGCCGATATGATGCCTGACAGGAGCTTCCATGTAGTACTGAGGCAGGTTATTGGTCGGTAGTTGGAGGGGACCGGTCCCTTCTTGGGGTCCTTGGGGATCAGGACCGTCTGGCCTTCAGTTAGCCATTCCGGGTGTCTCTCGTTAACTAGCAGCTGGTTCATTTGTGCTGCCAGACGCTCGTGGAGTGCAGTCAGCTTCTTCAGCCAGTAGGCATGAACCATGTCGGGCCCTGGTGCTGTCCAACTCTTCATACTGGAGACCCTTTCTTGGATATCTGCCACTGTGATGGTTACTGGACCCTGTTCAGGGAGGTCGCTGTGGTCTGCCCTCAGATCCTCTAGCCACTGAGCATTGCCGTTATGGGTTGCATCCTCCTCTATATATATATATATATATATATATATATATATATATATATATATATATATATATATAGATGTATATAGATGTATAAAGTTGCAGTGCATCAGTGCTTCAGAGCCACATCTCATGACCCTAAAGAGACAGTCAGAGAATGTAATTTGTCATTTGGTTAAAAGGAATAATGACTTGGAGAACTGACTAGGAGAAATCTTGTGTGAAGAATAAGTAAAAAGCAGTCCATGATGTCCAAAAAAACCCTCTTAAAGCTGGACAATGATTTCAGATGAAAAGGTCCAGTTATCTATATAAAATAGAATAAAATGCTATACATAATAGAATAAAATGCTATGTTTCGTAAGAAAAATTAAACTTAGTGGTATTGCACATGTGTGGATGCGTGTGTCTGTGTGTGTGTCTGTGTGCGTGTGTATGGTCATCTGTGAAGTCTCTGTTGTTGAGTCTGACAGCAGATGTAAGGAAAGACCAGCGAAATCACTCATTCTGTCACAGTCTACAATTCCTACAAGGAATTAAATTATTATTTTTATTATTTTTAATTTTTATTGTTTGATTCGACTCTGAAAAAGATATGAAAATATTCATTACTTAAATTAGGTGACTTTTTTGCTAGAAGTACTCATAGATCAGGGTAAAGTGGCTTAGGAGACAAGAAAACAAATAAACACACACAAAAAAACAACAACATTCCTCTTTAAATGATCGGGTACACGGACTGGTCTGAAAATGGGTGAAAAGCAGTCCATGATATCCAAAGGAAAAAACTCTTAAAACTATTTCTCAAGTTCACTTTAAAATATTTCAAGAAAATCTGGCTAACCCTTGGAAACAAAATACAAAGAAATATAAAGAAACGTGGCTCAAAGGCTTTTGCACATCACTGTATGCAATGATCATTGTGTCACTTAAGTTGCACTTTTGTATACAAAAAATATAATCAGCATTCACTTCTAGAAAGTACAAGCGCGAAATGCATTTTCTTCCTTTTGTCAACATTACTGAAAGTTGTAGTGACAGCCGTCGTGGAAAGACGTTACTTTTATTTTGAAATCAAAAATACTTGAACCTGATTGGTGCCTTTCGACGTGACGTCAGGACAGGAAATAGCCACGCAAGCCACTGGAATCATAACATTGCATTTGAAGAGTCTTTACTAACCCTGACATCATGGTTTTAGCTTTTTAATTTCGCTTTTTCTGATGACGGTTATTTCCGTTTATCTCGGAGAAGCGGAAGTTAGAGAAAAACTAAACTATATTTGAGCGCACTGCTAGCAAAACATGTCATTGGCCGCCGCGAAAGCAGCAACAGCAGCAACTAGCGATAGCTAGCAAATGGCTGCTTGGCTGTGATGTTTGTCACTGAGCGAAGTAAGTGTACCACTGTCACTTTTTTTTTTTTACACAGTATCTACTTTAAAATGTGTTTAATTCGCAGTAGTACTCATGCATTTATCCAGCAATAAATAATAGTGGCTGGAAATGAGGCGCAAAAGCAGCTAAATAACGGCCTGGCAGCTAAGAGGTTTCTTCTCATCACCCTAACTTGTGTTTTTGTGTGTTTTCCAGATGACAAGACGACGAGCAAAATAGTTGTGAAGGTGCTGGGGGCTTGTGTCCTGTACAGGGAAACTGTTAGTTAACAGTATGTGACACATTAGCACTCTGCTGACTAAAAAAAGGGGGGTGGGAGTTGGTTTAAATCAAGATGCCTCGTCTGGAAGTGTTGGCCAACGTTGCTCTCAGGGTGCCGAGCATACTGGTGCTAGACCTGCTCTACAAATGTGACATTGAAGGTGTAACGGAGCACCTCAAGGCAAAAAATGAAGACATGCTCTTCAAATACAAGTATGTCATCTGGAACATGTATTACATTGGTAAGTTTCATCAAGTAAGGAGCTGGGAGAATAAGTAAATCTCTCTAATGTTAAGCTCCATGGCTTTTATTTGTCTCTCCTAACAAGAATTACACTGAGTCGCCCTCCTTCAAAAAGCTGTTTGCTTCAGAAGAATGACCTTAGTCTTGGTTTTACTGGAGTTTACTGTGGTGGTCTAAATCAGGGGTGGACATTTAATTTTCCCAAGGGGGCAAATGAGAAAGTGGGACTGTTGTGGAGGGCTGCACTAATAAGCAGAACTCAAATCTATTCAATATTAATTGGGTCATTACATCTTAAATAATCATATTGTTTTTAGAGTATTTTCTGCTTAACCACCTCTGATTTGCCTGAAAATTTTATGGTTTCAAAATGTGAATTTTTATTGCTTTGTATATAAAATATTTTTCTATATGTTTATTTTTTTAACAGGCCCACCCACACACTTTCAGGCCTTTTCTAAAAAAATATTTTTCACTTTGAAATCTGAGCTGGTGTTTGAATATGATATGACTATCTTATTCAAACAGAGTTTTTAGGACTGATACATTAGAGACATGAATGGGTATTGGTTAGTTAAAGTATGTTTTACAAAAAAAAAATAAAGCCACCCTTTAAAAAAGTAAATAAATAAAATTCACATGAATAGTTTGTAGTTATATTTCACAATAATGTAAAATAAATCATGTGCAGTACTTTTTAACATGAAATTCTTAGTCACAATATTGAAGAAAATTCTATTTTCATTCCGCCTTCATGCTGATTTGAGCAAATCTGAATGAAACCAAATTCTGGTGCTTCCAATTCATATTTTAATCATAGCTGAGAAAATAATTGTCATAAATAAATGCATATTTTTCATTTTCAAGATCCACTTTTTAGGCATGCACATTGCTCTCGAGGAGTCTGATAATTCAGGTACAGCTTAAAATATACAGAAAGACGTAAAAACAAAACAAGTACCAATAAGATATTTGTGGTCTGACTTCAAAGTGCAAAAAAACGCGCAGGAAGTAGGTCAACCGTTTTTCTTAAAAAAAAAAAAAAAAAAAAAAAAAAAAAGAAAGAAGGAAAACTTGATAAGTATGTCAAAATTTAAGCTAAAATTTTACAGCTATCATTATATATGTTTGAACTTTGGACTATTATATTTTTTGGCAAATCAGAAATGAATGAGCAGGGGGCCCATGATGATTTGAGAAGGAAAAACCAAGTTTTATCTCTTTATAAGATTATTGTGGCTCTTCACATCAGTCCCAGTTTCCCATGTGGCGCTTGTGAAACATAACTGTCCACCCCTGGTCAAAATGTTACTTCAGATTGCTTTGTCATCTTAAAAGACACAGACTTTATCCAAAGAAAAGCTAATGAAAATTAGAAAACCTACAGAGAATTACCTTTAAAAAAAAAAAAAAGTTGAAAATGATCTGCATTTTTAAGTCTTACGTGCATTACTATGTTTTACTGCTTCTCTTGAAAACAAGAAACCAATAAAAAAATATTGAAAAGGGTCCTGTGAAAAGCAGCATTTGGGTGATTAGAATAACGGAATAATATCACATTTATAAACACTATAAATATTCTTGTTTTTATTCTGTTTCTCTGTTGTGGAATAAGCAGCTGTAGCTGATTAATTATTTCATAATATTTTCTGGGTTGTCATAGTGTGAGGATTTCCTGTGTTTACCTGGCTTGTGTAACCGTAAACTGAATCTGTTTAACTTTTGGACTGTTGGCGGGACATACGAGATTTCAAAACCTTATATTAACAGTTTTTAATCAATGAAATCCTCAATAAAAACTACATAGTTTAAGTCATCGGCATGACTTTAAAAAAAAACAAAACAGTTAAATATAAACTATTCATGTGGTTTTAGACTCTCTTGAAAGCTTAGTCAGCCTGATGGGGAGAGTCAGCATTGTCAAAATGATAATAGACATTTATAAGTGACAGTATCTTTTCTATTTCATAATATTTGCGTGCTTTTAGCTGTGCATCAAACGCATAAAAACATCACACTCATTCTTCTTTGTCTTCCAGGTCATTTGATAAATGTGGTGGTGTTAATCCTTCCATTGAGACACATTGTGACACTCTACCTCCATATTCTCACCGGCCTCCTCCTATACATGGGGCATCAGATTTCCAAGTGAGATCCTTTGGCACTATTGTTGCAATTCCTAGATGTTTGGGGGGGTTTTTGTTTGGTTTTTTCGATTGAATCAGCTTTTTTGACAAAAGGTGTCAGCAATTGCAATGATCCTGCTTTTTTTTTTTTTTTTTTATAGTACTATGGAAAAGTCTTGAGTGTCCTCTCACTTATTTACATTTTACTTCCTTTTCCTTCTAAAGAGTTTCTTGTATTTTTAAAGCAGTCTTTAGCAGTAGCTCTCCATGCTTTCTTGAGGTTTTTCAAAGTTTGTTTTTGGACATCGGCTGCTTTACCACTCATTTTTCATTCCTGGTATTTGACCATTTTCAGAGGAATGTGTTTGTTTGTGCCGCCACTTAACGCTGACGTATGAATCATTCAGACATTTGGTTATTGTCAAAGTGTTATTATGGGAACACTTCGTATATCTCAGTATGGTGTGCAGTGTGTTCTTAAAAAAGATGAGGGAACTGGACAAATGATGCAGTAAGTGACAATTTCTAAAAGTCATGTCATTAAGAACTGTACAAAAAGAAATCAAGCAAAGATCTGAAACAGCACCTGTGAGATATAGCATAACCCTTCAATGTACTGTTTTCTGAACTCTCATCAAAAATGGTTTAAGCGGCTGTCAAGAAGCCATTCTTAAGGAAGCAAAACAGGGAGAAAAGGCTTAGGTATGGCACAAGAATGGGACTTTAGTGGCAACGGGTATTATGGAATAATTAGTATGCACAGAGGGAGTCAGTTGAGAAGTAAGCGTCTACAGCCATCTGTGAAATATTCTAGAGACTCTGTCATGGTTTTCAGTCAGTGGTGCTGGTGATCTTGTCAAAATTGATAAAATTGTAACTTGAACCCCCAAAAAAAGTCAACATCCAGAAAAGCTTTGAAATGTCCTCCAAGAAGCCTAGAGAACTAATAATAATAATAATAATAATAATAATGGATACTTTATTGATCCCCATGGGGAAATTACTTGTTTTTCTCTGCATTTGACCCATTCACTCAGTGAAGCAGTGGGCAGCCCACTAAGCAGGCGCCCGGGGAGCAGTGTGTAAGGACGGTACCTTGCTCAGGGGTACCTCAGGGTAGCCGTTAAGTGGATTCGAACCGCCGACCTTCCGATCATGGGGCGACCACTTTACCTACTCAGCTATCCCTGCCCCACAAATTGATCCCCATGGGGAAATTACTTGTTTTTCTCTGCATTTGACCCATTCACTATTCCTGAAGACTACTTTAGGAAATGATGAGAAAGCCTGTCTTAGAGTTCAGACTGTTGATGAATAAAGGCAGTCACACCAAATGTTGATTTTTAATGCTCAAATTGTATAAAGTCTGCTGTTGCCTGATATACTGTTTGCACATGTTAAAATAAGCTGCTGCACCTGTTTCCCATTTTTATAGCAAAGTATAAAGACATGAGGGGTAACTCTAAACAAAAGCATGCAGTTTACATGTGATTGTAAAATGATTTTTTTTCTGTTTGGTTTATAGGGATTATGTTCATGAAGAGCTACAGTATGGTTATCAAGGAGCAGTGTATCGTGATTCTTTGGCCTTCAACAGATTTGTCTCTGCAATGACTAGTGAGTACTAAACCATGTATGTAATTAGTTAGAAAGTTCATTAGAAAGCTTTCGATTCCTATAGGCCTACGTTCTAAAAAGGTCTGAAATACATTTTTTGCACGCAGCTATGAATTTTGTTCACTCAAATTTAGCTTTTCTTCGCTCAAAATAAATTTCTCCTGAAAATGCAACACTTGAACCTGCAAAATTTTTTTTACGTGCACTCAGAATAGTGGCACAAAAATAACGCCATATGTGAAAACTGGATTATTTAATGTTACATTAAAAGAAATCTGTGAATTAAAGCCACTTCTCATAGCGAACAGTTTATCCAGTTTAGGGCCTGCTGAAGCCTGTCACAGGTGTTACAGATTTAACAAATCAAAGTTCTCCTTAAATTCCTCAAAAACTGTAATCAGTTGTAAAATAATGCAGGAAGCATCTGTTGTATTTACTTTTTAAGGGTTCGCCGTTGTGAAGCTGTACTGTTACTTTCTGCCAGGTCAGATTATTCTCAGCACACTGTGTGCCTTCTTGATGAAGACCAAAAAGGTGTGGTTGTTCTCTGCTCACATGCTCCCCCTGCTGGCTCGACTTTGCGCCACGCCTCATGCCATGCTGCTAACGGTCAACACTTTCTCCATGGGCCTGACTGGAGTGGGAATCGCCGTGTTCCTGCTGTCAAATATCTTTGTGCCATACCGTCTTGCAAGGGCTGCCTACTCTGAGCTGCTTCACCTGGAGGTTCTCTTATTCTGATATTCTAATTTTTTTATTTTTCATATTTCATACTGGACTGTTTTTGTCTTCTGTCGACAAAATCACCTCTTATTTGGTTATTATTAAGTATACTAAACTTCTAAATTATGTTTTTGGTTTTCTTGATTATATACTAGACTGGAAAACAATCAGTTAATGAACAATATAAATGTAAAAATCTGTGGGTTTGTTTTTTTGTTTTGTTTTTTAACATTCCGGACTTTATCGTGTTTCCTTTCCTCAGGTAATTGAGCTGTACAGACTTCTGGGTGTGGGAATCTCTCTGTGGAACCAGTTTGCTGTCCCAGTCCTCTTTAGCGTCTTCTGGTTTATTCTATTCATTGTCCAGCTGTGCTCAGACATCATGTCCGCTGGCACCTCAATAACCCATCATGGGATCATGTTCTTCCTCCTCACAAGGTGTGAAGGTGTTAATTACCTTCCCTTCATTTTGTATATGTTTAATCCTGACAATATGAACATCATCGGTTTCTCATTTGCTTGAATCCTACAGTGTCTCTGAATGTTGTGCAACACCATACTCTCTTTTGGGTCTGACCTTCATGGTGTCCTATCTGGCTCTGGGGCTGCTCAATCTATGCAAGTTTTACCTGGGAGGTTTTGCCGCTGTTCAGAACGAGAATGTCATGCACAGGTAACTGATAATGTAAGCTGTATCTCTGTGCTGTACCTCCTTTATTTTTATTTAATCTTAATTCCTGATCGTTTTTGTTCTCAGAGGTGTGACTGAGGGCGTCACTCTGCTCCTCCTCGCCATTCAGACAGGCCTGTTGGATATGCAAGCACTGCAGCGCACCTTCCTCCTCAGCATCATCCTCTTCATCGTGGTGACCTCAACCCTGCAGTCAATGATAGAAATAACAGATCCAGTTATTCTCGCACTGGGTGCATCACGAAACAGGTAAGAGCAGCAACAGTGTTTTTTCTTTTTTAAGCTTATTCCCGATTTCATTAATTTCTCCTTCATATGTGCTTCCAGGAGTCTGTGGAAACACTTCCGTGGCCTCAGCATGTGTTTGCTTCTCCTGGTTTTCCCAGTGTTTATGGCTTACAAGATCTCCCAGTTCTTCCACATGGATTTCTGGCTCCTCATACTAGTATCCAGCTGCATGCTTACATCCCTTCAGGTAGGAAGTATTTATGTTCTCTCTCTCTCTCTCTTTTTAGTGTGTTTTAAGTTATGAATACATTCAGGAAGCAATCTTAAATGCAGCTGTGGTAACAGATATTCCAGAAACTGAAATACAGGGTTAGTTTATTTATATGCTTTTAAATCACTGGTGTTAATTACTGTGACATTTAAAACAGGACTACTACTGTTGCCATTTAGTTCCAGTTGTAAATGTGTGTAGTCATGTCCCAGCAATGCAGTCTTGAATGTGAGAAATTTTATGACTTTGGCTCCACCCACTGGAGGTCAGATGTAGTGCATGTCTACATAGTTAATACCTTTTTGTTTGTTTTTTGTGACATCGTCCTGTTTCTGTACACCTGTGCAGTAACACTAATGTGACACCTCCTATAGTCATAAATAGAAAAAGGCATTTAGTAGACAACGTAAGGTCACCTTCACAAACTGAAAAACAAAGAAGCTGTTAACATGGCAGAAGCTGTAGATTTATACAGGGAGAGGAGGATGACTGCTGACTTGCACATGTAAAAGACTGACTGTTTATTCCAGGTTACAGGCACTATGCTGATCTACTCCCTCTTCATGGTGGAGCTGTTTCGCAGCGACCCAATTGAGAGCCTGGACGAAGTGATCTACTGGGTGAACGCTGTCAGCCGTGTGTTGGAGTTTGTTGTGGCACTGTGCGTGGTGGCTTATGGCACCTGGGAGTCACTCTTTGGAGAGTGGAGCTGGATGGGTGCCTCCGTCATTATCATCCACTCATATTTTAACGTTTGGCTCAGAGCGCAGTCTGGCTGGAGGAGCTTCCTGCTCAGACAGGAAGCAGCTAAGAAGATCAACTCCCTGCCCAGAGCCACAGCTCAGCAGCTGCAGGAGCACAATGATGTGTGCGCCATCTGCTTTCAGGTCAGTTACCCTTGTAGCTTTTGTTTTTAGAAGATGGTTAAAGCTGAGAACCAACAACATAAGATACTATAAAACCTCAAACCCAGTCCTAATCCTCATTTGGCTGTGAAAATTCATTTTCAAACTTGTGTAGTTTCTGCACAAAATGACACAAAGCATCCAATGAACTTAAGTAGGTGCTTTTTATGTTTTTTACTTATTTTGTTCAATTATCTGACCTGATTTAATTTTTATGTTTTTGGGTTTTTTTGTTGTTGTGGTTTGTTTGTTTGGTGGTTTGTTTGTTTGTTTGTTTGGGGTTATCATGACCTCTGTTTCCTCTAAACCATCACCTCTTTTAGTTGCTGTTCAAGTCTTACACAGAACTATGCTATGAAATAATGAGGGGAAAAAAACCCAACAACATTTAACTCTGTGGAATCACATTTTGTGAGTTTTGGCTTTTGAAAATTGTTCTTCCAAATTTCAGCATTCATGATTTCAAAAAACCCCAAAAACAATTTAATCCAAAAGCAATCATCAGTGATGTAAAATTTGTGCATGTTACACAAAATAATCCATTTAAAAATTCAACAGAAAACCTCGAATCTCAAGTGGCTGACACGCCATGCTTAGGTGTGGTTAATAATTAGACTGTGTGGATTATGTAGCAAGAGGACTGGCAGGCTTTGAGTTGCTAAATGTGCCCTCAGTTCACCTCCATATCAGACACAAAATGCTTTCATGATTACATTATTGATACTTATGAAAATACATAAATGCCTGCTTAATAAAATATACTTAAATTTAGTTGTTTTTTTCTCTGAATACTTTGACTTCCATGGTAAATTAAGGCATTTTTGCTAAAGTTTGCTAAAATTATTTAAACAATATAAAAAGAGTGTTTAATAAAATGATCCCAGATAGAGATGATGATGCATTTTAGTTGTTCAGTGCTGAAGGCCAAAATTAATTTACAGTATCGTTACATTAACATAAAAGTTGTCAGGTTATTGTAGGTGCCTTAGGTTTTACTTATTATAATCAGTGTGTCATTTTGTATTGGGGCATTAATTAAAAGTTGTCATGGGTTGATACTTGATTTTTGACAGTGTTCCCCTTTTGTTGTTATGACTACTACTTTGCATATATAATAGCTGATGTGTGTGTGTGTGTGTGTGTGTGTGTGTGTGTGTGTGTGTGTGTTTTTGAAGTTTGTTAATCCTGTTTTTCCAGTTTGGCATTCAGGACACTTCTTTGGCCTTGAGTTTGTTTTTCTGGTCAAAACAAGTTAATAATATCTCTAGTAGAGATGGACCGATCCGATATTACGTATCGGTATCGGTCCGATACTGACCTAAATTACTGGATCGGATATCGGAGAAAAATAAAAAATGTAATCCGATCCATTAAATATCACGAAAGCACCTCACAAAACTTGCAACACGCCGTAACTCACCTCAGAACGTTAGCACGTCGGAGCAGTATGCATCACGTGATAGAGCGGCTGTGGCATGCAGGACCTGTCGATGGTCTGGATAGCATTTGGAGCTTCGCTAGCAACCCGGCATTTCATCTCCGACAAAGTTATCCCGAGAGAAGTAAAGCAAGTGTGTAAGTCCATCTCTGAATGTTTGTAAAGCATTCCTGCGTTAAGCTTAACAAACGACTGCCTCTTCTTGCTGCTACTTCAATCATGAAACTGCTTAACGATCAGCTGATCGGCTTTTCTGTCGCTAGTCCGTGTCTCTAGTTTGCTTTTGGCCCACTTTGCACCAGAAAGAGGAAACCAGCGGCTGAACAACAGCAGCACGTTTAAGCTTGATCAGCTGTTGTTAGAATGTATTTAATATTACTTTCTACTCGAGGATCTTTTTCTACGTAGCTGACGCTGGTAACTGTGCAGGGGCGGATCTAGCAAAGTTTAGCCAGGGGGGCCGATAGGGCATTAACAGGGAAAAGGGGGCACAAAGACATACTTTTCTTTCTTATTCTCATTTAAAATGTCTAGCTTTTAATAAATAATTATCTGACAGCCAAAGTTTTAATTTGATGTAAAATGAATAGAAGTCAATTACTGTATATAGTGACTATTAAGTCTAATATATATACCCTAGTAAGCTATAGTACTTTTTCCTTTGGGAAGGTACCATCTGTGCAGTCTGCAATTTTGTTGAAGAAAGATGTTGAATCTATTTAATATTTCTTGAAAAATAATTGATTTCTGTGCATTTTTTTTTTCACACTGCATCAAATTAAGGTTGATTACGTCGATTAAGCATCATGAGGTGGCGCGTGAGGGGTGGTTCCCTATTTTTTATTTATTTATTTTTGTTGTTGCTGGGAGTTGGAACCCTATTAGTTAGGTTGCTTAATATTTATGCTAAGTACTCTTTAAAATACCAGAATAGGGAGGATGGTGTAGGTTTAAGTTTATTAGATTGATCAGTATTGCTGTACTATGAAATATTTTTTTTTGCATACAGGTATAACAGAATAGCTTTAGTGTAGTTGTTGTTTTAAACTTGAGTATGAACTTATACAAAATGCAGCAAGATATTTAAAAAAACAGTTTTGTTGATTAAAAAACACCATATCGGATTCATATCGGTATCGGCAGATATCCAAATTTATGATATCGGTATCGGTATCGGACATAAAAAAGTGGTATCGTGCCATCTCTAATCTCTAGTAGTCAGTAGTTAGTCATCAAGGAAATTCCTACAGAAAATATGTAGCTTGCCATCACCAGTGTGTGAAAGTGTGTGAATGTGTGTGTGAATGGGTGGATGACTGGTTGTGTAAAGCGCTTTGGGGTCATTAGGGACTAGAAAAGCGCTATACAAATACAGGCCATTTTACCTGTAAAAGATAAGACTTTATTGACTTTCATGGAAAATGTATTACCTGTGTTAAAGCAGGATAGAAGTAAGCTGATGGGGGACAAGAAAACTATTAAATTGACTGATATTAATGCAAAAATAAATTAGAGGTAAATGAAGAGAAGTCACATGAAAAAATAAACATCTCATAAAGAAATGAAAGGGGGGGGGGGACCCAACAAAAACAAAGTTTTGTTCATAAGAGGAAGTAGGAGGATGCGAATGCTTAATAATTCCTACACCTGTCTAGCTCTTCTTATATAGATGTTTTGACTATTTATACAACCTAATATTTACACATATGATACAAATAAATATTCCTATCTAATACACAGACTTGTTATATTAATATAAACTTTTATAGTTTGATAATTATGTATCATTTTTCTATGCATTTTGTTTATTTTATTTTTTTAGTTATGTTTTTTTTTTTGTTTTGTTTTACAGGAAATGAGCTCTGCCGTGATCACATATTGTGGACATTTCTTCCATTCTAACTGCCTCCGCAAATGGCTGTATGTTCAGGAGACGTGCCCCATGTGCCACCAAACGGTACGACCGACACCGCCGGGTCAGAGCCAGGCATCAGCTGACAGCCCGGCCGCCCCACCTCAGAGAGACGCGGAGCCTGATCCAGCTGCACCAGAGGGAGATCAGAAGCTGGATACAGCAACAGTGCAGGAGACACAGAGCAACAGTGTAACTCCTGATGACACTGAGCAGCAGGAGGGAAGGGAAAGCTTTGAGAATGGAGAAAATAGTGAAGCCCATCAGGGTCTTCATTACAGCCCCAGTGGGGACTGTGTTGAATGTGTCCATGCAGTGCGTTCAGGGGACCTTTCAAGTTCTCATACGCCTCAAAATAAAAATCCTCCCAACACGCCCAACCAAGCTGAGGAGAGTGGTAAGGACTCCATACTGCCATCTACCCTGAAAACTGTTACAACAGAGGGCCAGTCTGCCTCTGAACTAGCAGAGGTTGAGGACAGCATTCATTTCAGTCCTAGATGTGATGGGACACCTGAATCATGGAAGCGCTTCAATTCACCAGAGGCAAACAATACAGAGAAAAATCAAGAGGGAATCTCAAGTGGAAAAACACTTGTTGACAGTCCATCATCTGTCCAATCGTGTAATAAAAACTCAGAACTCTGCACTGATCGTGCCCAAAGTTATAAAGGTAGCTGCACATATTCAGACTCAGAAAGCCTCAGAGAGGTTGAACCTGCTCCACAGAGCCTTGAGCTCAGCCTACGTAGAAGCACAGACACCAGTGACTGACTGCCCTGTACCAGTGCCTTGAAGGGTATAAAAGCATAATTCTCAATAATAGGAAATTAAAAACATTTGGCTTCTCTGTGTGAACCAATAGATTGGGGGGGGGAAATGCCAGACAGTATAATGAATGTGCTTTGGTCTAACAAATAATGTGTATCTCGACTAAATAATGAGATTAAATTGTGTTCGATAAATGTACAACTTTAAAGAAATGTTAAATAAAGATCATGTTTAATAAAAAAATGTAACTATAAAGCATTGATCTTATATTAGTATTTACTGAATTTTAGCAGGTCACAACTAAAGATGTTTTCTTGGAGAAATCACATTTGTTTTCTTTTCATGTCAGTTTTCTTGCTCAAGGTTGGGTAGCATTTTTGTGAAAGAAATGTGGCAAAGAGAAAAGCTTCAGCAGGTGTCTTTTTATTTATGAATCAGCTGTTTGTACTCACACACACACACACACACACACACACACACATATATACATATATCTTAGAAATAAGATTAAAAAAAACAAATAAGAATATGTTAATTTAAAGATATGGACATGTTTTTTTGTAGATGACTTGATTTAAAAAACCTCAGAAAGCCTGGGGATCCACTAGATCTATAAACACTGGCTGAGTAACAAAAACTTGAATAAAACACTAGGCTTAATGGCCTAAATTGCATCCGTCTTTTCCTGCTATTGAATGTTAAAATGTCTCCTTTGGAAAAAAACATTACCACAAAGCAATTACCACACAGCCCCCTTGAGGTTCAGAAGCTTTGTTTGGTAATCCAGCGTCGTTATAATTTAGTTACTTGGATTAATATGAATACTGCCTGATTTACATTAACGCGATTAAAATTGTACAACTTGTGGTTGAAGCTGTGATCATGTGGGCAACTTTTAATCACTACTTGACAAAAATCCTAAAAAGTGTTCTCGTTTAATTGTGTCTTTCAGTAACTAAAGACTGGCATGTCACGGCTGGTCTCGCATGTATGTTGTTTTTCTTCAGCAGCAGGAACCAATGTGCCATCACAAACGCCCCGTCACTCAGCAGCCGACTGCACCGCCTTCACAACTAAGCTTCAAATACATGTAGACTGACGCTAGTTGGCCAGCGGCACCGACCGAAACCAACAGCAGAAGAGAGCTTTGTCGACCGGGTTACGCCACCTGGCACTCGCACTTATTCGGCATTGATTTTTGGGTTAGGTTTAATCCGATATAAGACGTGTAATTCACGAGGAAAGTGAGCGTTATTGAGGGAGTGTGCAACATTTGACGTTTAACACCGCGCATACGTAGTTTGAGCTTGCTAGCCGGCTAACTCTGCTAGCCAGAGAAAGGAAAAAAGCCGTCGGGTTTGACCTACCGTCAGTTATTTCACCGAGAGCGAAGCATCTCTGTTTCTTCGTTTGGGATCGAAACACCGCCAACTTAGAGAGCAGAACACCAAGACAGGATGGCTCTGAAAAGGATTCACAAGGTAAGATAACGTCGTGAAGGTTGGCTAGCTGTGTAAGCTAGTCCCGCTAGCCTCCCACAATGCAGCGAGCCGCTGTTCTCGAAACAAGGCGGCGAAACATGTTCGAAGATGTGTTAACTTTACAGCTCGTTTTATTTAAAAATGTTAAGGAGACTTTGGTGTGTTTTGACTTGAGTGAATTAATGGTGGTTTTTACTACTTGAATCGGTTAGCACGGGCCAACACGGCTTAATGTTGGGCCGGTCAGCTAACGTTAGCAGTTTCACTTGTAGAGAATGTATGTTTGACGGCGGAAGGAGGCCGCATGAATTTCCCAACACTTCATACCTTTACACGAAGGCACATATGTTTGAAGGTTGCCTAACTGTAATACGAAACTTTTAACCTGATATTCTTTGTACTCGCTAGTAAATTATAAGTCGTTTAGTTATGAATTAAAGCGGCAATAATTCATGTTGGAGGGTCCATGACTCATATCAGTCCCTGAAATCTGTTAGTCAGAGCTGCCTTCATGATACATTTCTTTGGTATGTCATCGTATTTGTTCTTGGTCTGTAATCGTGATTGACAGAAACTGGCAGGAACAGAATGGAGTAACACACTCGAATTGCTGACATCTGGTTTCATTCCTTCACTCTGCTGTTTACGAGAATTTTCTTCCAAGAAAATCAGACACTACTTCTTTGTAAGTTTACGGAAGGCTAGGGTGGGGCTGTGGCCTTCACCTCACTCTAAAATAGTGTATACCCTAAAAATAACACAACACGTGTCATATTATACACGGTATATGCTCGGTTCTCAATAACTTTGCATGGAGTTGAATTTTGAGCATAGTGGCCGGGTGATGAAACCCGAAGTGAGGATGGCGTGAAATATATTAAGCACACACCTGTCAGGTAGCACCCCTCACCACCGCAGTCTCGGTTTCAGCATGTATATCAATGATGTTAAAAGGCGCTCACGCCTATAGACAGATTTTTGTTTTTTTAGATCACATCTACTCATTTTTTGTTACTTTTGTCTAACTGGTTATTGTTTTTCCTCATAGGAGCTTAACGACCTGGCTCGTGACCCTCCAGCACAGTGCTCAGCTGGCCCAGTGGGTGATGATAGTAAGTGTCCCAAACCTGCTCTTTATTTCATTTCTTTAGTTTCATCAAAAATAAAATGGCAAAAATCTGCAACTAAGGTGATATTATCTAATGTGTCATTTGAGATGTGCAGCCCAAAAAAAGAACAATTTTTCATTTTTGAAATGCTGTCATGTGCTAAACTTTAGCATATTTGCATTTAAAAACATGTCTTAAATATTATAAAACCATTTGGATGTTGATTTAAAGTGGAGAAATTGGTTGCTGCTGCGTTTAGAAAATTTACAGTGGGATATTAAAATTGACTTTGAAACAGGGAAATTGTGTTACTGGGAAGCTATGAGGTCTGTTTGGAAACCTTAGTTCCTGTCAGATCACATACCTGTGACCTTTTCTTGTTTTGTAACTTTTACTTTCTGTTCTCTGCAGTGTTTCACTGGCAAGCCACAATCATGGGGCCTGTAAGTAGATCTTTTATGACACAGTTGTTGCCCTTGTCAGGTTTATGGCAGCACGGTGCTGAAATTTGGCATTGGAGTAGTGTTCCCGAGTGCTTAAAATGTATTTGTAATAAAGGTTGAAATTTGACTTGATAATGAGTAGCTGTGTGTCTTCTGAAATATGTAAATGTCCCCCCCCCTTTTTTTTTTTTTTTCTTTCTCTCTTTTTTTTTTTTTTTTTCTTTCTCCATCAGAGTGACAGTCCATATCAGGGAGGTGTTTTCTTCTTGACGATTCATTTTCCAACAGACTACCCCTTCAAACCCCCCAAGGTAACTGTGGTTGGACTGGTCAAACCTTAAGCAGAGTTTCCTGTTTTGATAACTTAAATATGGAAATAGTCTGTCGTGCTGTAGGCAGTTGTTAGTATGAAAAAATGTCCTGTTTACAGCATAAAGTATCAACAACAAGGGCCAATTGTTATACTTTAAAATGCTGAACAGCTCTTGAGTGAGGAAGATATCTTCAAAAACACCACATTTATAGTAAATAGGGCCTGGTGATTCTTGCGCCATGAACATTGGCCAGTAGCCTACATGAAGTAATACCTGTCATTCCAGAACTTGACAGTCATGAGCGTCACACGTCAGTGCCTAGTGTCAAAGTTTCTGAGTTGCATAACACGGACATGTTGTTGTCACTATGTTTTGTATAGCTTTTCACAGTGTTTTTGTTTGTTTTTCTCTCAGGTTGCGTTTACGACAAGAATTTACCACCCAAATATTAACAGTAACGGCAGTATCTGTCTGGATATTCTCAGATCACAATGGTCTCCTGCGCTTACTATTTCTAAAGGTATGAGGACATCTGTTCATTAACACCCAACTTGTATAATTTACTTAGGTCCATATTTTTACCAGGTATTTATTTCCCTGCTTTTTGGATCAGCAAGACCTGTACTAATAATATTTAATGTCTACAGTTTGAGTTTAAAATTTAGAATATGGTAAACCATTTCTTTACCTTAAAATGCTCATATAAATCGTGTAAATAAATTGAAATGTCAAGGGAAATTAAACATTCCCTTTTTTGTGTTTAATTTTTTTTAAAGCCATCTAAAATATAATAAATGTTAAAGAATGCTTAGCATCCATATGTTCCTTGCAGTTCTTCTCTCCATTTGCTCACTCCTATGTGACCCAAACCCCGATGACCCGCTAGTGCCAGAGATCGCACGAATCTACAAAACAGATAGTCAGAAGTAAGTATAAATATGTGTGGAAAAACTAACCTCTAAACATGTGAACTGACCAATTCTGTCTCCAAAAAGGAACATGAGAGTTTTATGGTGCTGTGTTTGCAAGAAGTGTTGCGGTTTCAAAGTTGCTGATTGCATTGATGTCAAATTCACCTTTATCTCTAGGGTATATTATAAAACCTAGTTTTATCCTGTTAGGTACAATAAACTAGCACAGGAGTGGACAGTCAAGTATGCCATGCTTTAGGGTAAGGCCAAGAACCATCACTGCATCTTGGCTAGTGCTAAGTGATCGGATATGTTGTGATGCTCTGCTCAGTACATAACTAGAGGCTTGGATCTGTTCTAAAGAGTGTGACTAAAATGAGCTGCTTGTACTAATCTTTGTCTCTACGAGCCGAATAACTTATTGACCCTGCACTGCTCTCAGGGTGTGGGTTTGGATTTTTATGTGCACCTTGATTTCCTGCAGTTGCACTCTCCTGCTGGAAATAAACAAGTTAACTGAAAATTTTTGCCTGTGGATATAATGGACACTTGAGTATTGTGGTGTACCGCTAACACAGGGCAGAGGAAAATCAAGATGTAATAGAAAAACCCTTTTAGTGTTCCATGAAACTCTAGTCTGGTAATAAGGAAGCACCTCCTTAACTCCATATCCATATATATATATATATATATATATATATATTTTTCTTCTTTGTAACCCCACAAGTTTCATTCTTTGGTATGATTTCTAGCATCAACTTGTAGAGACTTGAGGACAATCCCTCAGTTAATCATGGGTTGCCTGCATTGTTCAACAGATGTCACAGCATTGTGGAAAAATGTTCACGGTGATGCATTTAAGGACACTGCAACAGCTGGCTGTCAAAAAAGGCTGAATTCATGAGCTTGATGTCTAAAATTAAGGCAGGGCTGATAAACAAATAAAAAATGTGATATGATGGTTAGGTTTGTTAAGCGCGTTGCT